TTCTACAAAATATTGGTATGGATTTAACTCCATGCGGTTTTCATGTATAATTCTCACTACACTGATGTTAATATTAACATGATGTGAATTTAAAATGCCTGTTTGTTTCAATACCATCAATGGTGTTTAAAACCCATGACGTTAAATCTATAGCAATATTTTTTAGATTGTAGATACAGATCTGAAAATAATTTTATTGGATTATCAGGATAATTATGTTATTAGAGTGTGCAATTTTTTTGCAGCATCGCTCATCATGCGCTTAATTTTGTACATAACGATTTAGATTTTCAATAAAATTATTTTCAGATTTGTATCTACCTAATTTTTAGATACTTGTGTCCGATTTTCCTATTTCGAAATAGACCGCAGGAAAACCAGTGAAAGATAAACGTTGTTGATTTCTGAGATCAGAGATCATATCTGATGTAATCCATGGTGAAGCGATCCTGGGTTCCAAAGAAAAGGGATCTCTATGCGTGGATATTGTTTGTACGTAACTTACATATACAGGAACACTGAGTACAAAGCGGCGGTTCCACGTGACCCACGACCTCGCCTCTAATGAGCGGCAAAGCTTACGGCTATTGTAAGAGAACCTCCTCCTCCCCTGTTGCCGAGGGCTTCTCTCCGTTTTCTTCGTGCTCTGCCCTCCACCCGAATCCTTTCTTCTGCCTGGCCGTGCTGTCGTACGTTTAACTTGAATACAATAAGGCAGAAGAAAATCCGATCCTCCTCCATCCCTATGATTCCGCATATATTTATCATAGTTTGCGTATGTTAACTTACAAAAGGAGTAACCGCGTTACAAAAGGAGATTAAGAAAATCTCTTTGTGTAAGAATTGATTTACAAAATGCGTCGTAACGTTCGTAATTTAAAAATAAATTTTTTACAATCAATTTAGTATTAAACTTCTGATGCTAAAATCAATACACCAGATTTTTAATTGAAAGGCTTGCTACAATAATAGATTCTAATCCTCATTTCGTAAAAATATATGTAATAAACTCTAAAGGAAAATATTCATAAAATTTGCACACGCTATAAAAATTGTTTTTTATTTTGACACATGTTCGACGAGGTTATTACGGGTTACAGATAATGAATATGAAATTAATAAATATATGAGAATTTCTCTGAAAGAGATGTTATATTACTGACTAATAAAGAAAAAAATATAAATCACTGCATGACAAATATAACAGTGGATTAGCGCAATCTTTAAAACAAATAGAGGACTCCATCACTCATCCGTTTCTATCTAATATCTATCACATATTCGATTACGTTGTGGGTTAGCCTATCGTCTATCGCAGCAAGTCCTTTAATTATTAGATACTTTATATATCGGAATAAAATAGCCTCCTTAGATTCATTAGTTGTAATTAACTAATAATATAATAATTTACGATATCTATATAGATTATGTATTAAATGACAATGTCTGCGATATGTCGCGCGAGGTCTCCTCGAATCGCGATGACGATGACCGCACGGTCATCGCCAAGAGGAAGATCAGTGATTCTACGAAGCGATCGGGAAGAGAAAAAAAAAAAGGATAAGAGGCAACAACGGGAGAGAGACGACCCGACCCGAGCGAACCCGCGAGCTCGCCGCACCGTTCTTGTTGAGCGAATCGACAAGACGGGCGCGGCGAAGGGGAACACCCTGTACATGCCGACGACATTCCCGAAGTGCAGCGTTCAGTTTTTCACGGCTACCAGTGCAGCGGGTAGCCTGTGACGAGCTAGGGAGTGACTCAGAAGCTTCGAGGTAGACGCAAGGGCGAAGCAAACACGCACGTGCTCCCTCGCGTATGCGTCTCTACGTGCGTCCGCGTACACGTGTATACACGCGCGCGCTCCGCTCTTACGTGCGTGCGTGCGTGCGTGCGTTGCGTACGTGCGCCTGCAGCCGGATCGCGGAGAGGAGAGGAAAAAGGGAGAAGGGAAGCGCGAGATTTATTTGCCCGAATTTCGATGGCCGCCGCTGTGGCCGCGCCGCTTCCGAAGAATGCATCTCGCATTCGGGATCTTTCGCGGAATATGTCTTACGGCGGATTCTCCCGAAGGGGTTCCCCTCGAGTTCGATCGTTGCTTTTCCACCGCCGTGTTTGCTCCTGTCGCGCCGAGAGTCTTCAATGTTCGCTTTGTTTAAAGGGCCAGGTCAAAAACACGACTAAATACTTCGAAGATTTTCGCGAATAATTCGAAAATTTACGAGTTTTTCGTGCATTCTGAATTCAGAATTATCTCAACCATCTTTCATCGTTACCATTTCATTGGTTTGAGTTCGAAATCCATTAAAATTTTTGTTACCAGTTTTATTCTTTTAACAATTTTTCAAATTCAATACTGCGAAAATAAGATTGTAAAACATAAAATTATTCCAAATCATTATTATTTAAAAATTAGGAAAAGTCCCAGGACTTGTGTGTTCCAGTAATGAATTAACTCTCTGCCGTCCAAGTTGAACTTTCAAGTCAATATTTTGATTGTAAATTCTGCACTTTCAAATACCATATATGAGTATATGAATTTAAACACCATGTGTTGTGTATGTTAATATTAATATAGTACAAATTTAAAATTTATGATGCTGAACCCATATTTTTAACAGTGTTAGATAAATTTAAATCTGTATCAAATAATTAAAATATAGGTACATACAATTTTTTCAGGTTTTTATACAATCTAGAGAACATTATAAAAATCTACATCAAAACTCAATGACCTCGATAGATGGTTGACAAAAGTGCAAAACTCCACATAGCTGACAAAAGTTCAAATTCAATAATTGATTATTATCAACGGACTCTCGTAGCCGTTATTCCCAAGCTGGATCGCGACGATATCCGATAAATCAATATCTAATCAATGATCGGAGACACACGTCTCACGGATGATGTATCGTTTTGTCGTGGATTCTTTCGAGTCGGCACTATTAGGCCATCGACGTCGTCGTTATTTTTTGTGGGGGAAGAAGTCACGCGAAGTGGACCTCGCGTGTCCCATGTGTCCCGTAAACGACGACTAGCACCGCGATTAACTAATGTGTCGGACCGGTTAGGAGCGTATTGATCAGAGACCCGAGACTAGATTTATGTCGGCGAATGATTCACGGCACGTGATTTACAGCGGATTGTCCGGTGCGCACGCATACTGATTGAGCATTTATGCCGCTCTCCCGGCAGCGTATATACGGCACACTAATCATTTATTGGGTTAAGGTGAAATTCTCCTTCCCTCTGCCGGAGGGTACACTCGGATTTCTTATCCCTTTCTGCTCCGGCCTTGTGCCGTTTCGATTACATGGCAAATGCGCGGAATCGAGAAGACTCGCATATTTACGGAAGAAATTAAAACTATTGATTAGACGAAACGTCATATTGAAATATCACAGATTTTTTAAATTATTTGATTTACAGATGAGTGTCCCACATTGAATCTTTTATTACACTTGCATGAAATACAGTATTTGCATTTATCTTTGTCTGAAGGATGTATAGAATATTATCAACTTTATTTATAATTGTAAACCATCAAAGATAGCAATAAAAGTTGAAATATAACGTGATGTAATGTTAGAAACTCCTCTCGCGAATGATTACGTTAAAAAAATATTAAGAAGCCAAGTGAGTAATGTAAAACATTTTTTTTGGCTTCGTATTACTCTCCTCGTGTGACGTATTTAAATACTTTTGCACATTTCCTGAAATTTGATAAGTAATTTATTAATGAAATTTCTCAGGAAATCGGGTTACGGAATCAAAGTTACGTAGGTGCTCGATTCGCGACGTTTATGTAAAGCCGCAGGCACGACAGTCAGCGTGGTTACGGTTTTAGAAAGCGCGTTCACCCTAACGGCGTCGCAAAAATCGCGTTTCCGTCGCCGATCGGAGTATTCGAAAGTCCTTTGGGAGCAGCGCTCCTTGTTTTTCATCTCTCGCTCTCTTCGATCCTCGATTACGAAGGCAGGACACGCGTCTCGCCCGTAGAATGTCGTCGCCGTAACGAAGGGGCCTCTTCTCTTTCTCTCTCTCTTGTCTCCTTCCATGCGTCCTCGCGAGGATACACTGCGGCTCCCTTACCTCCTCAGCATCTCGCCGGGTGATCCCTCGGTACCGATGAACGTTTAAATTAGGCAGGGAATCCCTCGGAATGCGCTAAAGAAACGACGAGATCGGCATTCCGCGAGGTTTTGATACGCCTTTGGGCGTATCGTGCTCATGGGGCATTATTAGCCCTTATGCGGCAGGAATGACTCTTAAGGGCCCGACCCGCGATCCTTCGCGCCGCGGCTTCGAAACATTTTGCACATTTTAAATCCTGCCCGCGAGAAGCGACTTGTCCACGATGACATCTTCGCTTTACTACATATGTAACTTTTTTCTTTATATTCATATTTTATTATGCTATTATATATTTATATACAAGTACTTAATTCAGTAGTAAATTATTTATATTTTAATTTAATTTCATTTAAATTCTTTATACATTATTTCAAGACCCTGCTTATTAACATCAATATTATCAAGTTGTTTATCAATTTAATTTGTGATATTATCCTGTAAAACTGTAATATTGAACAATTTATTACGGAAAGACAGTAATTAATTACTTATTTGAAACATTAAAAATACTGTACTGTTTTTGTACTTAAAATAAATAATTAATTACCGTCTTTCAATATTAAATTCGTTAGTATTAAATTTTTGTAAGGGTATTATCCCAGTTTTAGTTTAAGATAAACTGTGTTTTAAGATAAAAAATTAAACCAACGGCGCCGTTTACCGAACTAGATATATGTACGTAAAATTCTTGCCGAAATATTATTAAGCACTAAGATCGAACTCTAATCAAATAAGATACTTTGCTACTTAGTTGCGTAAACTGTTATTCGAATTTCAGTCCAATGTTATTTATTGATAATTAATATTTAAATCGTGTAGTATTTAAATTAAACTAACTCTTTACACTTTTTTTGTTTTTTTTTTAGAGTCTGGCCACAGGTTGGACAGCGGCTCCCCGTTTTGGAGGATTCAACTTGACCAGGACCTTCTGGATACCATCAGCGCGATCTATCCGGAGTGGTTTAAGGTAAGGTCTATTTTATCCTTCTCTCGCGTCATATTAGAATCAACATATACTCATTGAACGAATGCGGGATAACGAGGTACGCTCCTCGTACAGGATTACACTAACAGTCGAGCAGCATCGACGTCCTCTCCTACATCCGCAAGTGCTTCCGGTGCGCAATCCTGCAACGACAGCGCCGCCGTGGTCGTCGTCACCGGCGGTGAGCACAAGGTCGCCAAAGGCGACGCCAAGTCCAAGTCGAAAGTGAAAAAAGCGGACGGCCATAAGGATAAGGACCGGGACAGGAAGGACCCTAGGCGCGACGCCAAGGACGAGAGGTGAGATAATTTGCGTGTCGTATGTAGATTATACGACTTGGAAAGCACGAAGCTGAGACTCACCGAGAGAAGACTCATCTAGAGAAGACTTGAGTTATATCGACTGAATATCAATAATTCTTATAAAATAACGAAATGAGAAGAATATCCGAGTCTCGTTATCACCTTCCACCGGTTTCCACGCGAGTATAACCGGTATGCACGCGTCTCGCGTACAAATAGAAGTAATGGACAAAGTACGCGTGTTCTTGATCGCATGCTGGGCGTAAGGCAGGGCGTTATCGTGATCAAGAAATAGACGTGTCGTCGCTCAGCACCTGCCTCGATTATTTTAACAAGCTCCGCGAACTCCTCCCCGACACTTTGTCGCCCATCACCCGCGTCATTATCTCGGGGAGACGTTATTTCTATTAGGGTATTGCATGTACCGCGCTGATCTTGCAAAAACGCAGCAGGAAGAAGACAACTTGCTAAGTAGCTGATTATCGTACGGGTCCGAGAGACTCTTGCCTGTGAGAGGTCTTGCAACTCTCACAAAATTCGAAAACGCAGAAACCTCGATCTAATAATAATATTTTAATGCTAATGATATTAATACTTTGACTAGGTATATCTGAATGACGCATAAGTTTCCACAAGAACCTCGTCATCTATTTGTGATTCACGGCTTTATATCTACCTATCCGATTCAGAATGATTTAGTATTATTATTTTACTTGTAAGTGTTGAAGACATTTAAATACAGTGGTTTGGCAGTTAAAATGTTTTAATTTGCACTTAAATTTAACAGTCAAAAATAATTTTAAAACTGTAATATCAAACAGAGATTACGCGAGATCATAAAACTCTAAATTAACTAATTCATTTTTGTTAAGGCTCACTCTATTATGCCATCTTAAATTATAATGTCAGAAGCGAGAAGTTATATAATAATTCTTGCAGAATAGATTGATATGAAAAATATGTTTTAATAAGATAATTCTAATTGTACAATTTATGGAATCAACTTGTAAAATAAACCGAAAACTCTCTTCTCATTTTGTTAATTAATAAATATATTGTATATTGTGGAAAATGAATTATATAATAATAAAAAACAAAATAAGCTGTTCATAAACTATCAAATTAATACGTATAGAAACAAATATGATTTAATTTCTTCCTGAAACAAGATATACTTTGCAATCTATTCTGTCAATGGTAAATGTTATTTTATTGAAAAATATTATTCAAACGTAATTTGCAAAAATTTTTATTCGTGTTTTCTCGTTTCTGACATAATTTGAAACAGTAAGTGCGAACAGGAATCTTCACTAGATAATAATACGTGAACACTTGATTTTAAATAATAATTAAGTCAAAGTTTGTTCTGAGATTTTTCTATAGTAAGCCGCTTAAATGAGAGACGACGGGATTAGTTCTCGCGGGCCTTCGAACACCTCAATTCACTGCTGCGAGTTGCGAGATCGCACGAGATGCTAGGGCCGCGCCGAGCGGACGATTAACCCGCAATTTAGTATCAGTACCGCGTGTAATCGTTACGCGAGAATATAAACGCTCTTAACGACCGGCTTCCTATCTCCAGCTGTGACGAGTAATCTTTTCTCGGAACTTTCTCCTCGGCGTACTTAAACTCACCGGACCGTTGGCTCTCGACGCTTTAAAATCTTTAATCGGCTCGCTAACTTCTCTACGTATGGATTCCGCGCAAAGCGCCGTTCGCGCAATTTTCTCTGAACTTTTCGTGAGATAAACGAAATAAGCGGATCTTCTGCGTGACATTTCGCTCGCGACACGACGTTTCGTGACCATCTGGATCCGTGAAGCTCTCACGGATCTATCCTCAGGTCTATCAAGATAAATATGTTCACCCTTCAATGATTAAAACACTTATTCTTACCCTTTCGTTTTTGTAGAAGATACGCTATTCGATACTTTCTCTATTATACCAAGATTATTCATGCGTGTTTATTTTACATTCCATTGCACATGATATTTATCTGAAAAGTGAGAAAGAAATACATTGTTTAATATCAAATATTTTCAGTTTCTACAAAAAATATTGTAAAAACTCAAAATATTTAATAGGAAAAATTGAATAGTGTAATTTAATTTTTCTGAAAACATTAAATATTTTCTCTCGTATAATATTAAATTTACTTTTCATATGTTTTGAAATATTATAGTTTATACATCTTAAATTTATTTAAGACTAAGCCAGTTTGTAGAAATTCTCATCTCGGAAATGACATATTATTTCTAGACGTTTTTAGTTTATTTAAGATCGAATAGAGATTCGCGAAGATACACACTCGACGTATAAACTCTCGTAGACATATAATGTCAGACATTTCTTGCTCAGTAAAGATTCGCGCTCGGAGAGAAGGAAAGACCGGCCGTTTCCGACTTCGCTTTCTGATGGAAACGTCGTCCGATCGAGTGTCGATTGATCCGTCATTCCGTCATCCGCGACAAAAACATGCCGCGAAGGACCAGGGATCCGATTGACACTCGAGCGTCGATCGGTACCCGGCAGGCTCGATCGGACCTCTCTTCGAGCCGATGTATGAAAGATTAATTCACAAAACGGCAACGTTTTGCTTCGTTTCGGTCCGTTCTTCGGACCTGTAGGGACGCTGGAAACGGTAAGAAAGGGACGAAGCCTTCGCCGCAGCAGGATAAAGCAGCGGCGGACGCGGCAGGAAGGAAGGCCGCGAGTGCTGTTCCAGGATCGGAATCGAAGATGGCCGAGGGCAATCAGTCGCCGCCGAAGGCGGAGGTCGACGATTCACCCCTCCAGCACTCCATGAATCGCAATAAAGAATGTGAGTACACATATATCTTCTTTCAACTTTGTCTAAAAATATTAATCTAGAGTAAGAAGTTCACGAAGAAGTAATCGCCTGTGTCGGCTAGAGTTTTTGTCGAGTGTTTTTTGGGAAATTGCGTTCAAACTGCAGCCACATTGAAACAAAATTAGAATTTTATCTTTTTATTAACCTTTTAGAGATATGACACAAATATACAAATATATATATTTAATTTTCTAATTATTTTATATTACTGACGGAAAAAGAATATTCATCGTAGTATTTTTAATCGTTTCTGTTTCTACGTTAATTGATTACTATAAATTAAATGTAATATATAATTAAGCAAATAATTAAATTACTTTATTTCATTTAAAAAAATTTGTAAAGAAGTTACACTATTACCATTTGGTTCCGATTTCCAGCAAAATTCTAATTTTGATCGTAAATGTCATTCATCATCATCAGATGACGTCAATGAAAATAAATGGAAGAGATAAGAATCATCCGGACATGTTGTATACATTAAGTTCCGTTTGCCGACACTCGCTTTTCTTCTTGCAATTCGCTCTGTCACCGTTTCTCGCAGTGCATTTACTCCCCCCGTTGTGGAAACGGAAGCGTCGCTTTTCGACGTCCGGAATAAATGATGAAAAGACCTAACGGTCCCTGTCGCGACGATCGCTTCCGATCGAATAATCGCGCACTGGGTATTCGCTATTATTATGCGATGCAGTCTGAGCTGTTCATGCACGAGCGTGTTGCATGCTCATCGTCGCAGTTACATACCCCGCAATGTTATACGAGCACCTCTTCGGGAAGGCGCCTATAATAATCGAAGAAGGCGCCGAGATGGCTCTTTTTAACATTCGCGGGCAACTTGCCATTATATTCTACGGCGACTGTAATCATCCGCTCGTTATTCGGCGCATAGCGAGCGGCCCTCGATTATCGATTCGGAATCCGGCGATTTTTTCCAATAAAGAAACGCTCGGAGCTTTCATCGTCGTGCAAAATGCAGCTCTCCAACCCATTCGCCACTTCCGTTACTACTATACTACTACTACTACTACTACCGGCGCCGGCAATTGGCCAATCGTTCTCAAGCTTTGTTAGATCCCCGTTTTGTATTCGGAACGCAACTTCCCACGGGCAGAATAGAGGTATCAGCCACAACAACTCTGCCGCTACATTTAATGTTTTTCTATCAGCGATAGACACATGGATATATAATTAATTAGTATCTAGATAGACATAATTTTTTGTAAGGATAATTTCTTTTTTATTGTTATAAATTACGAATAACTCTTCGCCTGCAATCTAAATCTTTTTTCTTCAGTTTAGTTAATCTAGGTCCTTTCTCCAAATTTGTTTACTGTTCTAAGCTTAAAAAAATTCTCGGTTACTTTGCAACATGTTACTTTGTTACATACTAAATAGCTTTTTATTTAAAAAGTTTATTTAATAAAAATGGAAATTTAAGCAAAAATAAAGATGAAATTTGAGAGTGTAATTTCGCTTGTATCAAAAAAGACTCTAATTGCTTTAATTGCATCTAATGGAGAGATAATCATATATACTTTTTAAGGAACTGAAAACTCAGCCTGAAATATTTACTCTTTAATTATTAAATATAATACAATTAATCTCCATATAAAATAAATTCGAGATTATAAAGTCTGTAAGATGTTCTCAATATACATTTACATTGAATAAACGAAAAATGATTTCAAAAAGATCGCCCGAAGACAGGCGTGTAAATATCTCTCGATGCCGCATTGAAAACTTCGCGCGGTGGGTTTCTTCCGCGGTGAATCGAACGCGTGCCCACTTTTTTCCGTCCACAAATTCCGCGGCGTATACATATATACGTCGTGCCGATTCGTCGTGGTCGACTCCTCGTTAAAGCCACAGGCCATCGCGTGCGCAGTCTTTAGAACGCGTCATTTTGTCGCGTTTATCGATCGCCTTTTTCTGTAATTACTTGCCATCAGGCGCTCTTGAGGCGTTCTCCCCTTCATGTGCGAAGGACGCTCATCGTGCAACGAGAGCGCACTGAACAATGCGTACCACTTTTACAAAGAAACACAATGTCACCGTCGACGACCGTGCAAATCAATAACAATCTTTTATACAACTTCTTCAAATAAAATTTCTTAAAAATTTATTAAGAGATACAAATTCCGAGGTAATTTGATATAAACACGATTCTAGTTGAAAGAGTAAAAAGTTGCATTCTGCAAAAGTTGGAATAAGCATTTTGACGTTTGAGATAAGACCGCTTTTCCTAAAGGGAGAGAAAAACGTTATGAATTTTAATTTTAATAATTTAAAAGTGAATTTCTTTAGAATTTATGTGTTTGTATCGATATTTTTGGTAAATTTGACGCGAAAAATTTGACGAACGAATTTCGATCTGTTGCTTGATCACCTGTATGTGTGCGCACACTCTGATGCGTGTGTGTGTGTGTGTGCGCGCGCAACTGTCTACAGGAAAAAGACAGTGCCGGGCATTCGTGCAGACAGGTAGGTGCAGATTCGCGTGTGAGGGCCGTGTACACGCGTGAACATATATACATATACAAGAAACAGGAGGCGTGCCTATTTATAACGGTGATATCATCGCCGATTACCTACGCTTTCGCGTGGACAATCGTAAATTCTCGTAGCAGAAGGGTGCAGGTTTGATGCCTTACCGAATATCCATTGCGATCCTCCTTTTCATTCATCTTTTACGTTTTTATACCTTTTTATATGTACATAAATATTTGAATAATATTATATATTAAAAATATATTATATTGCTTATATACAGTTTTTTATACATGTTGTATAAAAAAACATATTATAACATATTTTATATACATGTTTTACTATATGTTATTTATATAAAATATGTTTCTTCTCTGTGACTTTTGATGTTAGATCGAAAATAATTTAAAACTTACAAATAGACATTTTGAATAATCTAGAATTCCTTGAATCTTTCATGTCTGACTAAGAATATCCTTTTCCACTGACTTTCACGAACTAATTATAATAATATCTAATCACATTCGTAATATTTTAAAGTAATGTGAATACCGATTATGTACCTGATAAGTGGAAAATGAAAGAAAATTAACACACTCGAAGAGAATAAATTTATTATTTTTTATTATTATAAATTTTACAAGTAATAATATAATAATTCACAATAATGTTAAAAAAACAGATAAATATCATTAATTAAACAATTTTGTACTTAATTTGTATCCATTATCGATTGACGCTTTCTCATTGATTTTTATTGAAATGTTTTCGATTTCTCGTTTACACGGTTTTTATAGTTTACGAAACTTATTGCAAAAACATTACGTCGCTTATCATCAGACAAAATTTCGTTATGTCAATGAAATAAGGATATGTTTGCCTTCCCGATCGTATCTACATTTCGTAGCGTTACAAAGCGACATAATGAATCTCTTAGAGTGCTCATTCGCGGGTGTATCGCGTGTACTTGAAACGCGAAAGTACGCCGGTTGCCGATTATGCCGAGCTAATTATCGTCGGCGTATCTTGCCCTAAACGACGACGATGTATGCACTCGTTATACTGGCGCGCGAATTTGCGCGCTCGTTTCGTAATGGGAAATTATGTCAGAATTATGCGCCGTACACTCAGAGGCCTCCTTTCCATCCTGTAAAACCGATAACCTCGAGTAGCTCTGCGACCGCACGCTTAATGAAACAACATCATTAATAAAACGTCTCACGCGACAAACTCATTCGGTCATTACAAAAATGAATGCGTTTTTTCTTTTTTTCCTTGTAACAAAACGGTAGATTTGCAAACAAACAATCGCTTGAGATCCATGCTATTGTGAATTCTTTAAAGTGGATTCCTCCCTAATTTTATAATTACCCATTCTTTAACAATTTTTTTATATGATTATTTCTAAGTTCTTCCAAAGCAAAAAATACTCTATGAATAAAATCTTGCTTTGATTGTTGACATAAATTATCTCGCATATATTTGATAATGATTAATCAATTTATAATAAATTCGATTAAGTCAGGTCTTTATTAATTTAAAAACTTTTGTTCCTTAAAAAATTTTAGTTACATGTTTTCAAATTCCTCCAAAGTAGAAATACTTTATGAATAATAAAATTTTACTCTGCATATTAAACAGTGACATAAATTATCTCGTATTTAAGAACTCCCAAGATTTCAGAGTCGTTGCTCCATGTTTAAAAATCGAAGCTCTGAATTCACCAGTGAATGGCGACGAAAGCGAAGGCGCGAGGCATCTTCGCCGTGAAACGAATCGCGCTGAAACGAATTTTGTGCCGAGCACTAATTGTCGCCAACGATAATGCGATACAAGATGCCTCTGGAATTTCTTGTAATTAAAAGAAAGATCCAGCTTCCTCTTCCCCGTAAACTGGCGATGGCCAAAGGCCCGCGCCGATCGTTATGCTTATCTGTTACGTATCTATACGAGCATCAGCGCGATACGGACGACAAATATACCTCAAGCGAGCGTCTTAGGAGAGTTTCATCGATGTTTCGCCTCATTTCTTACCTTTCGTACGGGTACCTCGCCACGACCTTCGTAACCGTTGCATTTATCAAGGCGGCGATACACAGTCAACGAGTACTAGTTAGCGTATACCGAAGAAAAATACGTTATTAAGATAAGACCCTCTCGACGATTTATGGCTACGTGTTCCTACCAAGATAGTTCCGTACTGTTAACTACGCGTGTTTTTACAATTTCTCTTATCTTTCTTATTTCTTTTCTGCGTTAACTTTTGATGAAGATTAGACAGTAAATAACAAATTGAATAGCGCGCTGCTCGAATTATGGGCTGTGATATACTTCGGGCATCCACTTTTTATTGATCGCTCGTTACTGACGGTGTCTTCTTGTGTAAGCAAGTTAACAAGACGGATTTACAGGGTCGTATCTTCGATTCCGGGAGGTGGGTTAAAATCTAGAAAAACCGATTCGATCAGCACGTACATGCCATA